CAAAAGAGTTTTATTTCTCCTTTAAAGTCAGCCTTGCAGTAAATTTATTATAAGTACTTCGACGATGCGATATGTGTGGAGGTTAAAATAAATATAATAATAATAATAAAAAAAAACAAAAAAAAAAAAAAACAATGGCAGAATAAAAAACTTCTTTGACATATCAATGCCTAAAAGAAAGAAAAGACCTTATAATGTACTTATGAACATGAACGCTTGCTTACATGTGCTTCTTGTAAGTATGTATAAAATATTGTTTTCAGTGGTCATTGTGCTAAATATGCGAAATGTAAAACCTACACATTTAATAAATGAACGAATGTAATACGGGATTTTAAACGCAACAAATTAAAATAAAAATAAGAAAATAAAGCAATGACAAAAAGCCAACTAAGAAAACCATATACGCCTTGCAACGAATCTTAAATACCATCACCTAAGAGAGGGATACGATATACGGTGGATGGTGGAACGAATTTCTCTAGTAGTAGTGCTTAGAAAACTTTCTCTCACGTCGCCATAACGAAATATGAAGCTTTTAGCGATAGAAGACAGAAAATAGGCTCTTGATCGGCGACTATCGAACTGATAGTCATTTATGATGGGACATGATCCACCATCAATCCGTCTTTGGTATGTAAAAGACTTAACTAACACGAACGAAAATTCATGAATATCGTTAGTAATAATTAATAAGCTAAAGTAAAAAGCATAGTAAATTTTGATGGAGCCAAAAAAAGGGTTCGACCTGGATAAGATGCCAAGGTTTAGCTCTCTTTAGAGGCCTTTGCACTTCTTTTTAAAAGTGTAACGGTTTTTTGCTGTTTTATACTCCTTTGTCATGAATAGAAGAAAGCGGAGATGATTGGTTTTAAAAAAAAGACTTGTTCTATTATTTCGGGCAGGTGCCTGACTCCGAAAAAGGGATCCTACTTTCATTGCCTCTGTTTTTTTTTTTTTGCAAAAAGTTCTTACCCCGTTACTTTCGATCAATTGACACGCCTGCGAAACCCATGAGTGTCAATGGTTCGCCTTAAAACACATATGATGTTCTTGGTTGTCTGCATTTGTATGAAGCAGAACATAATTCTTATAATGGCTAAGTTAAATACCTAAGCTAGTGCTTGTAAACTACTATGCTTGTGAAGGTGTTGTTAAGATATATTTCTAAGTTACATTAGTTATTGGGGTCAACCTATCTGTTAGTCGTTTGAATCAAAAATATTTGGAAACTTAATTACCTTTGGCTTTCTCTTTCAATTTCTGAGACGTTGAAAGTAAACGAACGAGTTAGTGGACAGACGCACATGAATCTCACTGTAATCCATGATTGCATTCATATTATAAGATCAACGATTCGTCCGTAGCCGCATGTTACCAATGATATGAAATAATTTTTATGTACTCATCCTTCGACGCTGGTGTTGGTTGAGAAGACGGCAAACAGTCTTACGGCCTTACACACAATACGTATCCCTAAACGAATCCAGCAAACTGCAGAAGTGCATTATGTATACGTATGTGTGCATATAATATGCAAGTGAGATGCGTCACAATTTATTTTATGCGTTCTTATGAGCATTTACATAAGTGCGGAGGTCTGAATGCGTACGCGGAGAACGGTTTACGCGAAACAAAAAAAAAAAAAAAAATTGTAACTTTTGCTACAAACCAGTTTATGTGTTTTCGTTTTCGCTTTTTTTTTGTTTTGTTATTATTTTTTACTTTCATTGATTACATTACAGTCAATGTTTGTTTATTCACAAATAATCCATATTTTATGTTTTTTACCAAAGTTAGCTAAAGAAAGTTTCAGAGAGATATACGAGTTCAGGTTAAATATAAATGTATTTTTCCATATATTCAAGGTTTGATAAAACAACACACATTAAAACCAATTATCGGCAATTGTGTCGTAAAGTTTGCACCTCCTTCTAATCGATACCGCTCGAAAGACAACTTACGTGCGATAATAAAAATAAAAATTCTTTTAATAACTTTTCATGATTGTAGTAAACAGATACCTAACGTTATTTACTTTTTAAAGTAACAAAGAACACATGTAATGTATTTTGTTTGAACTTAAACTTGAATTCATTCCTAAAACATGCCGTTGTGCATTCGGTACTTATTCAATACGTATTTTCGACTGCTTCATGTCAAAATGCTATCTTTAGACTTAATGCCACGGTATGCGTGATCTCGTCAAAGTGTAAACAAAATATTTTTTCAAGCATTCCTTACGCGATTTATTCTAAAGAAAGTCATCGGTCATTCTCTTGTCGATGACCATTGGATGGGTTGTAATGAAAGAAACAATCAAAAAATTGTGTTTATGTAACGCGGCCAACTCTTATCTTAGTATTGACGGTCAAGTATGAAAGGTGCTTGCATGTATATTGGTCAGCGACATGTATTAAAAATTATCTTACGAATCGACTAAAAAAAGCCATTTCGAACGGTTTGAACATTGCGGTTTCATAGCTTGTCTGGCAAAAAAGGGTTGCGACTGGCGATGAAAAGTGGATCTTTTACAACAATCCAAATCCAAGAGACCCATCCCGTTGACGCGGAATATTCATTACCATGGGATTTTGCTGTGCATATGGTGGACATCAGTAAGCTGTAGTGTATTTCAAGCTGCTAAAACAGATTGAAACTGTTACTATAGATGTCTGCTGACGTCAATTGAAGAAATTGAAGATTTGTGTTGTTGCAAACGAGATCAGCAATAGTAGCTAAGAGAGACAAAATCATCCTCTGCATGACAACGTTGAAAGAGATGTCAAGGACATACTATTGCAATTCGAATGGGTAGCCCTGCCGCACGCACCGTACTCACGACACAAAGAGCCTTCTGATTATCACTTGTTCAGATCGATACAGCAAAGCTTGGCTGGCACGTGGTTTGGAAATGCGGAAGAAGTGCGAAAATGGTCCGATCGCTGCAAAACCAATCTCGTTCTTTTGCCACGACATCGCCGTGTTCCCAGAAAGATGAGAAAAGGTTGTAGAAAATGGTGGAAAATATTTTGATTAATATATATTGTATCAATTTTCTCAATACATGCCTTTTTCAATAGAAAAAATGAACAAAATCCACGCAAGCACCAAAGATAAGGCTCGGAGTCTGTGCTCTGTATTCGGTGGGGCTAAAACGGGAGGTAGCATTACAAAAAACGCTCAATAGTCTAAGGCTAGAACACACTTTGTTAAATGAGGGCGTGTTATAGCTGATCGATTGGAACAGTTCTTGTGTAAGGTTTTCAAGTACCGCAAGAAAAATCACTCTTGGTGGATTGTTGCAACGCGGTTAAAAAATTACGTGCCGCTTTACTAGGCAACTTCTAGACGAGCGTGGGGGGAACTCCCCGTAGAACACTTGCCATGCACTCACTACGTGCATAAGCATATTAAAGCGTGGTGAATATTGGCTCGCACACGCATAGGGGCAGTTCCATCGGTCAAGCATACCCAGTCAAGATCTGGAAGCACTTGTTCCTACTTGCATATTATAGGGGGGGGGGGGATAAGTTCAATCATTTTTGTATCGCTTTTTGGAGTGAAGTATTTTTGGTACCGTTTTAAAAAATCGAGGGTCTTCTGCTCATTACTTCCGTTCACACTTCGAACACATCTTCTTTGTAAAGAACTTTATTTTGCAGTATTCTAGTTCTACATTGATAAATCCAAAGGAAAGGCGGCGTTGGTCGATAAGAGCCAGCATATTATTAAGCATAAAGATTCTCCCGTCTGCAATTGAATAAAGAGGCTTTTGTTCCATACAAAAAAAGGCATTAATAGACCCTAGGAAGAAAGAACGAGAGTAAGAGAAGGAGCAGAGGTTTGCAATACTCCTGGATTTGTGGGCAATTTATTTGTAACGAAGGTAGTTGCGATATATCGATTGATGCTTCAGCATAATAGCCCTTGGTCGTTTATTGCAATATCCATTAGGAAAGACTGCCCTGAAACGCTATTCTGATTGCTAATTACGAAGAAATATACTTTCCTTTCTTACAAGAATACTAAAAAAATGGAATGTTGTTGTTAAGGAAGCCTCAAAAAACAAGCTGATCTTTAGTACGGAATTCATATTCTACGAAACAGAAGGGAAAAATGTGATGGCAAACTATGAAGAGTACTTTAAATAAAGTAACTTGCATCATCTGCTTAATAAAACCTAATTATGGGTCTATTATCAGAAATTTCTTTTCTAAAGATCACTTTTGAAGTAGTTTGGTCATCAGGTCATCAGTTAGATAAGCGTACAGATTATATTGTTATATTATATTGCTCGGTCTTCCTTTGTTGGGATCTTCGAAAATTTTTCTAAATTTCAAAAAAGAAAGAAAAATGAATGAAACTATCCTCCGATAGCATATTAAAAGTTGTGGTAGGAGGTTTTTCAAACTGACTTGTGGAGATGCGGTTCATAAGTCAAATTTGAAGAAGGGATGGATGATTAAGAAGAAGAAATTTATAGAAGGGAAAGTATTGCAAAACTCTGGCTTTCATTCAATCAATACTTGAAAAGATCTCTTGTAAGCGATTTCATTTTATATTATTTTAATAAGTTTATAACGCAGACACTGAGGAGACTGCAAAGTAGCTTTGGCGACTTTCTCATGTTTAATTATTACACGAAACGAAATGAAAGGGTCCGAAACAAATATGGGTTTTTTCAGAATATCAAGAACTTCCAAACAAGTAGCTGCGTTAGCGTCGTCATGTACCCACACATATGTTTCGGATGATGTGCGTAAGAATTATCTCCGAAAATGATATGATGCAATATTCATTAAAATTTCATATACAAAAATAAAAGAAACGTCATAATCTTGTCATGTCATTGTTATTAAACATGAAGGGAAAAACTCAAATATTTCACTTTACTTGCAAAGCAAATGGAGAGCTTAATGAATCGAGTATGGGATAAATGTTATAAAAATCAAATGAATTCTTCTGATCTTTTTGAAATTCTATTTCTTTCTTTATAGCATAACGCATAAAGGAAGTCTTGGAATTTTTTAAGCAAATTATTCCAAATGAAATCTAACTGCATAGCGACCAAAACAGATCAACACAAATACGATTCTTTTAAGCTTTAACAGTAAAAAGTGCCAATTTTCTCCTATAAGTGTCGCGAACGGAACTATGGATTTACACCATTTCCTCGTAAACGTAGCAATAATATATTTCATTTCATTGGGTTATTTCCCCGATGACGTTGAGGCTGCCATGTCAATAGCCAATCAGGATATAGAACGTTATTTTCGTTCAGCTGCTGCCAATGCCAATACCAGCCAAACATTTCCAAATGAAGAACGCATTACGATGGATGTGTACACCTATGCATTTCTAAATTATTCTTATAAAGAAAATAACATCATACAACAGGTGAACTTCAACGAGGAGAAGGCACGTTATGGCGAAGGGAAAATACTTACTGTACAGGGCCGATTGATACATGTTAGTGCCAGTAACGATGTTAACGATGATACAGCCTGCACAAGTAGTATACTAGGAACCAAAGGACAGCCAATACCTTATGGTGCATGGATAGCATTAGTGCGACGCGGTCATTGCACTTTCGAGGAGAAAGTGAAAAATGTCTACGCCAAGGGAGCAGCAGGCGTAATCATCTATAATGATAAGCCAGTAGTAAATTTGGAGAAAATGCAAATAAAAGGCAAATCACGTAAGTCGAGGAAAATATATTACATAAAAATAATTACAATTTGAAGGTATCGGAAATTATTGGCAAAAATTTGTAGAATTGAAAATTTGTTAAGCAAAAGTTCCAAGAAAAACAATCATACGCATTGCAGTTGCTTTTTTCAATCTACATGCAAACATCTCTTCCCATTGATTCTTAGATGCATAATGTTGCCAATTGTCTACATTCCAGTTTCACTCAATTTTAAAAGGGTGCAAGCTTTTTAACAAATCATGGATATTAATGCCTCGTTTTTTTAATTAACTCATGCTCAGTAATCGAGTAATTTTGTAAGATTAATTTGATGCTTTGATGCATGCATGGCAGAGTCAAATGGATATTTAAGGCCTTCACTTTTCTCCAATAAATCTTCTTCCGTAAGCTTTTTCCATTTGGCAATAATTGTTTCTCTTCCTCTTCCCTCCAAAGTTTCATATCATTTTCCAAGTATCAAAATAATTGATAATTGATTTTGACAAAATGTTTTCGTCTGTGTTAAATGTGTACCATATGCAAGCTCTCCAAACATCAACTTCAAAGATACCTATTCGTTGAAGCTTAATGGTAAACTCTCCTTATGCTCGCCCTACACAAACGAATGGAATAAATAAAGTCCTTCTTTTAAGCTTAGGTTAGGGATTACTGCTGAAATACTGTTATGAAGATGTTAAGTCATTTCATAAGTGAAAAACTCACTGCTTATATTTCTTAAACAAAATACTTTTTCAACTAAACTATTCGTTACTTACAGTTTTTATCGTCTTTAAAGAGAGGCTGTTAACGTTCTCTGCCGATTCTTCATTTGTTCGGGGCACAAGTGCGTGCATTTAAAATACTTCTTCAGCATCATTTCTGATCGTATTAGTTACTCCGTTCGTTACTTTAAGTTCATAAGCGTTTACATGACAAGTGCATGTTTTTCTTTTAATGTTGAAATGAAAACCTCCTTCAACTTTCTACTGCGGTATTCCATTTAAGGCATTCAAGCCGTCACCGTTTTTCCTAATGCGCTTTTGATAGTAATAAACAGAAGTAAATCTTTCTATTGATCCTTCTTTCGTCCACAACAGGTAACATAACAGCTGTGATAACATACCTGGAAATTGGTTCGGAAATGGCTATGCTCCTAGATCGTGATATTGAAGTGATTGCCGATATAATAGAGGGTCGCAGTGGCATGCGGCCCATTAACACTTTTACTCGGTAAGTGCAGAAATGAAGTGCATGTATGAGAAAGAGCTGAAAGAAAATAAAAAAAAAATTAAAAGTTAGCTTAGGAACCTTCCGCAAACAAGAGACCCTATCAACATTACATTGTAAGGAAATTACTTATGATTTAAGGCGAAATCCGTGTACCCTTCTTGTGCGTTGTTGATGTAATAGTCGATTTATTGGAGCCTTTTTCACATCGAGTTTATTAAAAATGCCAGTTAAGGGTAAATGCTTTGTGAAAAGTTCACGTCGATTTTGCAATAAAATTTCTTATGTTAACAAAAATATTTAAAATTTTATTTTTTTTTTAAGCGAGCGAATCTCGCTTTTGTATTGAGTAAAGTTATTACTTGAAAAGCTGAGCTACATCAGAGGGAAAGAGAGAGAGAGAGAGAGAGACGAGATCTTTGCCGTTCATTTTATGATGACGAAATGATCAAATTACTTATATCTTTTCGTTGATGAATAGGAGACGTAAGATCTCTTCGTCTGCATAACGGAAACAGAAGACGTACTTCGATTAATAATTTTCACTACGGAGACAAGGGTCCTCTAATAAAATGTCCCTATTGTTTCATGAATTACAATAACTTTAATGTCACTAGTTTTGTTATTTTCAAAATAATGGTAAAATCCCAATTCGCTTAGATAGAAATTTAAATAGAGAGGATGGATAAACCAATGGACGAACAAACAAATAAAAAAACTGTGCTCAACCGTGACCGACTCTTTTCCACTCACCACATTATCGTAAATAAGACTTAAAAAAAGACGACGAACTAACTTTTCTCTAATTTATATAGGGAGTAGCTGCGGCCGAAATTTTCTATTTTCAGGATAAAAGTGATAATTTAAATAGAGTACGTGTTGTATTTTATGAGTAGGAACCAAACAACACGGAAATGAAGGGTATTCACAGCTTTCGTTGTATAAACATGCGGGCTTTGGACCGCAGATAATGCACAGTAGGTTAGACAGACAAATTGATAGACGCAGTTGCTTAGGTGCATTGCGAATATGAAATTCGCCCAAAGTGTAAAGGCCTTATGGGTTTTTTGAAATTTGACGGCGCGCGCTATTAAGGTATTGAAAAAAAATATATATATATTAGTGCACTATAACATTGGGACGGTGTGATCAAATTTCTCCCTTTTGTACCCTTTGTGCTATAGCATTGAGTGTCCTTCGACTGATTTGGTCCATTTTCAATATCTATACAGACACTATACAGACGGACAGGTAGACAACCGGACTGACGGACAAAAATTTAATGCTTGTCAAATACATATACACTTTGTGGGATCTCTGAAGCATCCTTCTGGGAGATGCAAACTTTTTAATAAAAACAATATACCTCCTACCCTTCAGTGATAGGTGGTTTAATGATCATTTAGATTAGAATTATCTGCAGAGAAAAATAATAATAAATCATGTTTTCAGATCTGTGGGTAAAATATGCCACACGTTTGAAAGGCAGAAAGAACAAGTGGTTTTTTATTTTTGGGAAACGTCTAAAAGTAAATAGTGAAAAAAAAAAGATTATAAGAACGCTGCCTAATGGAGATGCCGGGGTTTGAACCCGGGACTTCTCACATGCGAAGCGAGCGCTCTACCACTGAGCTACATCCCCACGATCGAACTGCTCAACAATTAATGTATAGATATTACCCTTGAATTTACACCCAACAAACCAAACGTTTCTTAGACTTGTGTTTGTTTTTTAAATTTTACAATTAAAATGTGTTACATATTGCAATAAATTATTACAAAATTTCCTACTCTTCTACATAATCATCCAAAATTGATACTAAAAGCTAACTAAAAAAACCAATTCTAGATTATATACAAAAATTTTTACAACATCACGTTTCCGTTTTGGATGAAATTTACATGTTTTAGAGGTTTTTAAAAAGTAAGTGTTAGATAATTTCTTTTAAATCATTTTCCTTTTTTGCACTTTCATTTTTTTTTTTAAAAAACTTCTTTAGAGATTATATATGAGTTCTTTTCTCGATGAATATATTATGTTATAGAAATTTTCATTTTGCAAAATAATAATTTTGGGTAAACGAAACTTCTGATAGTATTTTTAAATCTCGTTTGTTAAGTGTTGGTGTTTTTAAAAGTTTTTCATAAGAATTTATATATATTTATATACATATTCAAATTAATTTAAATAAGAAGTTTCTCTTCTAGAACGTCAATTCTATTCGTGGCCATTTCCTTCATTATATTAATGGTTATTTCCCTGGTATGGCTGATTTTCTATTATATACAAAAATTCCGCTATATGCAAACTAAGGATCAACAATCGGTGAGTAAAATTAAATTATTAAATATCCAAGTTAGCAAAATGAATAAAAAAGTAAATGAAAAACTCTAGAACTCTAACGTGTTACTGCTTAAGGCAGTTGAAATGTGAAAAAAAGAACTATGTCTTTAAAGAGCAAAAATAAAACATTTAAGCATAAAATGATATACTGAAATGCAGCCGACAAAACAAAAATATAATTTAAAAAAAATATATATACATATATATATCTAAATTTCCATCTTTAATTTTATTTTGAAACTTTCGATGTTATTCTTAAGTAAAAGCGTAGAACCGCAAACCTCTATCATCTGTTGAATATTTCAGCAAGACCTCGGAAATGTCATTGGCTGCTCTATTTCAAGGAATAATCTGCAAACCCTACTTTTTCAAGACCATTTCATCTATTTTCGTTAATTTTAGTTTTTGATTGTGAGCTGATCACCTTCAAGATAGGGATCTTGCACGATGAAAGTAATATATGTTATATTAGTTAGAAGGAGATGTCAAAAGGAAAGAACCGCAAAGTATATACATTTTTAATCAGCGTCAAATTCGGAATGCATCCAAGTTTGCTCGTCTGTCCGTCTGCCCAATTATGTTATGTTTGTAGTGTATATTCTCCCTTGGGCAACAATGCAGATATCGCTTGTAAACATGCAAAGGAATTTGAAAATGACCCAAACCGGTCAAACGACACGCCAACAGTAAAACAAAAGTCTGTCTTTTTTGTAGGTTTTGCTCATGACTTATTGGCTACAACAGATACACGATATTAACTTCCACTTTTATTCTACAAAAACATAAACACTCCACCCACGCCTGTCACATTATATTAAATATGAAAATTTAATGTTTTCCCTCTTTTCATTTTTTTGTTATAGCGATGATGGGTGTAAAAAATTAAATTCGGCAGCGGTCGAATAGAATTTTCTTAGTAATTCAGTATTCAATTGTTTGTTGGGTTATGTTTGTTGTTAAGCTTCTTTTTATGCAAAAAAAAGCCTCTGATATTAAATGCTTTTCTTGATATTATATTGCAGCGCCACCTATGTTCAGTAACGAAAAAAGCCATAATGAAGATTCCCACCAAAACGGGTAAAAGTACTGATGAAAAAGATGCTGATTCTGATTGTTGTGCCATCTGCATAGAAGCATATAAGATATCAGATTTAATACGTGTTTTACCCTGCAAGTGAGTGCTGGCATACTATTAATTAATTAATATTTACAGATGCTATGATATGTTTTTGTTTGCGTTTACTTATTTTAGGCATGAATTTCATAAGAGCTGCATAGATCCGTGGCTTCTAGAACACAGAACATGCCCTATGTGCAAACTGGATGTATTGAAATTTTATGGTTATGTGGTGGGTGATGAAGTGAACACAATTCCTGCACCGCCTCAGTATATTGCAACAGTACCGTCATTAAATGATACAGATGTGCCAGTTGTAGTAGTTGGTGTTATGCAACAACAACAACAACAACAACAACAACAATATCATCAACAATATCATCATCAAACACAAATCAATCACAATAATCAAATTAGTAGCAATGATAGTAGCGACCAAGTAGTTCAGAGTAATACGAATTCCCTTGGAATCACAGAATCCAATTCAGTATTTAATGTACCAGTAGAAACAATATCTGTGTCGAGTTGCAATAGTCCCTCATTATCAGCGGATGGGTGTCCCATGCACGGCATTTCCGCTACCACTAATACTGCTAATGATTTGTGCTCCTGGCATATATCAGTGCCTGGCCTGAATCGGACGATAAATAGCAATCGGCCCTTTATGGTCGAATCAACGACAAATGATAATAGCAGCACTAGCACTAACACTAGCAATTCCATTACCAATGACAGTAGAACACAACATTGTACTAGTAGTCGTCAAGTGACCGATGTATAAACACACAATCGACACAATCTTAAAGTTTCCTCTTTCCCCGCCCTTCTCTCCCCCCACCATTTCCTTCCCCGTAAGCGCACTTATTTTGGCTTTAAACAGAAAGTCGTGACATTCATGAATAAAGGATGCCACGACTGCTTAGTGATGTAATTTGTTTTAATATGTTTAGTTTAAATGTATATACGCGCAGAGCTATTCAGTAATTTTATATTTTTATCCCTTTTCAAGCTCCCTGTTAAGACCCATGAGATTTACACTTAAGAGTTCTAAGACTTGAAAGAAAAACATAACCTGACCGTAAAAACACTTTAATTATTTTTAGTTTTTAATGACAATTTTCTATGCAATTATAAAATATTAAAAAAAAAAAAAATGAAAAATAAAAAAACATTAATTGAGAAAGAAAGGCAAAAAGTAATAACTGATTAAAAAAATAAGTCAGTGACTAAGAGAAAGCCTAGTCATCATCCATACATATGGACGCATCCGACAACCCTTTGTATGAAAGTAAAAACAATTTTTTATTATATAAAATAAATATTTAATTATGAGTGTTAAGCGTATATTTAAGATAAATTCATTCAAACATAAATACACCCACACAAATAAACAAGTATTATGTAATTGTATAAATTATATCAATCAAAGCCGAATGCTAATATATCTGGAAAATTTAAATTTCATTGTGAAAAAAGAAAAAATATACGTAAATGTTTGCAAAACATATCGTTGCGTTGCGCTTTAATCTTCTTAATCCCATGCTTGTAGAATGTACGCAAACCGCTTAAAAGCCCCACTGCTAGGAATTTCTCATACAAAAGTATCGAAAAACATATCATTAACAAAAGTGTACAGATATGCGTCTAAGTCTAAGTAATCTTTTGATTCCCATCGCTTGCATTGCATTTCGACAGCTTAACAATATATTACGCAGTTGCACTGCTTAAAAGTAAATACACCAACAATACGTAGGCCACAGTATATTACAGTTAGCATACAAAAAACACACATAAAATACATACTAACACAGTAATATGATATTCGATTCTATTATCAACACATAGTATTTTTTTGCGTTTTAACTGAGAACCCAGTATTATTAACGGAGAACCCTGCAAATCTCTGCATTTTGACGGGAAACTCTAGGCTTTTAACGGAAACGGAGCTGGGAACAGATGAATAATTTTGTTGTTCTCCTTTTTACATGGCTAAGAAAGTCTATCGCATGTTCTCATATTTTCGTCCATTTAGGCTTAGATGGGTAGAGAAAGTGAAAAGAAAAACAAATAAGAAAACTATACTAACCTGCGGTCACTTTACGGCGAAGTTGTGATACCTAACTTAAACCAACAGCTAATAAGCGTTGTGTGGGAATTCACATCTTTTTTAACTTAAATATGTCAATGCTAAATAAGCAGAGCAGCGAATCAATGAAAAAAACTCACACGACGTAGCGCCCGCAGGGAAATTGATTGATTTCGAGTCATAAACACGCACACATTCTATTACATGTGGGTGTGTCAGTTGGTTAATTGGAATGCTTTTTGCACTGATCTTTAGGCAATACTTGCGCCGAGATAGAGATTGAGATACTGTAACCTAAAGTCCTTTCTTATTTTACGCTTTTATGCGACTCGTTTTAAGACTAAGTTCTTAGCATTGAACTGTGATTTTTAGGTTAAAGCTTATTTACAATTCTTAGGAGATCTATTTACAAATTATTTAGGCGCTTCAATGTTTTAATGCTCGTCTCTTCTCCATTCGAACATTACGATTCAATACTCTTGATTTGACTAACCTTGCCTAGTCTCCCTAGATACCCGCTTCGCAAGTAAGTTGCCAATACTTAATTACATTTTCTTCGCTAAGCGCCCACTGCTTGAGCATATTCTACTTTATGACATCGGCAGGTGAAGCATTATGGTTTTATCATTTCAAGAATTTCGTTTCCTAGAAAATCAAGTAGACTTATATCGTCGCATTTCTGGTTTCTAGCTTAATTTTAATGTCTTTGATGGACGCTTATGCAACAAGTCAGATACATTTTTAAATCTGAACGTCCAATTAAAGGATATATGTCAAGCTTCAAAGTCTTGTCTTCTTTCTTGGTATTGTGGGCATTCCAACAATAGACGGCTAACGGTCGGAGATGGTCGGACAGAGAGATATGATTACATCGACGTTGGTTAGGCATTAGGGTTTGTTTTTAATATCTCTATTTTATGTTCGCCACAAATTTCAGTGGCAAAACTACACATTCGCCTTGGGATGATTTTGGCAAGAGAGTATTTGTAAGCCGAGTTCAACTGACGGAATCCGCTTTCTCTATCATAAGAAGTTTTTATCAAATCTCAACCAAATCGCTAAAACTGAACTTGAGATGAATTTTATGCAAATCTTATGATCAATAACTAACTAATATCTTATAGAACATATAATTGAACTTGTATAGAAATGCGGATCAATTTTTGTTGTTTTAAAAGCTTTCGCATCAAGCTTACCAATACGGCAAGTAAATAATGTAAAGTAGTTCAGCTTGGCAAGAATCGCTTTGTAATTTACGATATCGTCTTGCTTGCTTCAACCAGATGAGAATTTCATTGGCGAAAATTTCAACAATATATCGAACATTTACAGTTTTTAGGTAGCGAAGAAAGTATTTTGGAATATGAGCCCGATAGACCACGTAACAATTCTGTTACGAACGTGGCCAATCAGCAAGCCGCAACACAAAGACAATCATCCGTTTTGGCCGATTTAATACGCAGCCGCGAATTTGTTATGGATTTCCCGCGAGTTTTCGTTTATAATACTAGCTCAGCTATTAATCGCAGGCACCGCGATAATCGATTTCCCGGCGATTTACCCGAAAGATCGCAATCATCGATGTCGTTTTCTAATGGGCGAGATTTGATGCCGGTGGTAACGAATAAATTAGAAGAACAGCACGGTTTGACAAAAGTATACAAAACCGATAATAAAATGGAACTGCAAGAGGTACTAAGAACATATCAAATAAGAAAACTTGATATAATTGCAAAAAAAAATTTTTAATAATTTGTAGAATTTTCTTACGATTAAGCCTGAGTCAGTGCGAAGACGACGCACTCGCTCAGCTGATGGGCGATATGCCAGCGTTACTTACAATGTTAGAAAATCGAATCCAATTTCAAAAGATAATCCGAGTATGGAAAACGAAAAAGAAAAAATCGCAACAAACGAATGTGAGATAGCTTCCTTAAACAACTCGACAACATACGAACACGTAAAAAGATGTCCATCGGGAATTAGCTTGAGTCTCTCAAACGAACATGCTATCAATAAACGTAGAAATTCGGTCGATTCTGAGGCGACCTTGGTTGCTGAAGACATCGCAGACAATGAAGGAGCATGTGGCAACTCAAGAGATGCTTCCTACGTTACTATACAAATTAATGGCGAAGACTTGGATTAATTTGTTACTATTGTTTGTTCCTTTAATTTTATTTAATTTAAATGAATATTTATTTAATGTCACTTTATTTAACACTTAATATATATAAAATATTGCTGAAGAATATAAATTAGTAAAGACAAATTATAATCTACTCGTTGTCTTTGCTTCTATTGCGAATGATCATTCCAAGTGTGGAGGGTTGGCGTCCGAACTAAACAGATATTCAAAATAAAATTTCTATCGAAAATAAAGAAAAAATTCCCACAATTCCATTGAAATTTTTCAAATAATTATTGAGGAAATATTTTAATATTTTTCCTAATATTTCAAGTGATCGTAGATATGTTTGCGGAATAGATGCTTTGAGAGAACTATAATACGTATCAGGCATATGGATGTGTTTTAAAAACACGTTTCATACGCTACACCACTAGTGCCACAAGGGTATATTAAGTTTAAACGCATGTATGCGAAAGCCAGAAGTAATTCCAATAGACTCATCCTTTGTTATACCGATCGATTCAGAAAATCGTGAAAAGAGTGGGACGCACAAATAGACAAACAGACTTATATCGATCAGAAAATGATTCTGAATCAACAACCGTACAAACATGAATGTATAAAAAACAAGACGGCAGACAAGCGTAAATCGACCAGAAAATGAATCCTAATCGGTCTAAGCTTATATTTTCGTCTGTCCCTCTTGTTGCTTGCTTTCATCCTATAGGGCCCAATTTTTGAGATATTTTGGGACGATCAAGGACGAACTTTATTGAGTTTGCTTCGAACCCAATTACTCTCCACAAACCTACTTTTGAAAAGGCGTTATATGCATAACTCTATTAAACACAGTAGTGTAGAATATTTAACGAAGGCCTTTGTGTCACTATAGCGTTTTTACCTATTTTCGTATATATAAACGTTTGTAAAACTGTTTCATCACTCATCAATAACATCCGATTTGCGGACGATGCATATATCTTAACAAGTAATATGTAGACAATGGTTCAATGGTCAAAGTGACAGCTTTGTGTTGAAGCTAAATGTTCACAAGACCAGATACATGATCGTAAGACGAGCTTAAACTTTATACGCAAATGCCACTCTATCAATTGATAATCAGAATACGGAAGGGGTTGACAAGTTTGTATGCCTTGGATCCATATTAGAAGAATAGCAAGCCGAGAAATGAACATATTCCTTCGCCTTCGTTTCGTGGAATGCTTCGTCGTATAGTCTAGAATCATGGACATTAAAACTCTGTGCAGCGAACAGACTGAGAGCCTTTAAAGTGTGGTGTTGCCGTAGAATTCTAAAAATATCGTGGAACAATACTTGAGAACAATAAACTCTGAACGTTAGCTATGAAAGTCTTTTAAGAAACGAAAAACTGCATGTTTCGGGCACATGGTACGTAGGGAAAAATGTGAACTGCTACACTTAATAGTTGAGAGACATATGGAAAAGTGTAGAGGCCTGAGAGCAGAAAACAAATGGCTGCGACAGGGCTAAGAACAATCGGCGAAATTTTACACATAGCAAGGAGTCGAGAAGACATTTAAGCTTTAATTAATAATATAAAACTATGTACACCACCTATATCCAGTAATGGATAGGTAAGAAAACAAGACAAAAAAAGTAAAATGTTTTGAATGAATGTTTCTAAGGCATGGCTAACCCTTGTTAACCACTATTTTGCCCATCTTTCCGGTAGAATATGAATTCCGCCACACAAAAGCATCCCTTGGTCAGCAGTTTGAAAAAATCATTAAACAAAACTAGCAATGTGTGGCGTACAAATCGTGGACTGCAGTACGTTCCCATTGAATATTCTTTCAACCGCATGTTTTTTTTTTAATGATCGGCTAAAATACCTTATTACCTATTGCCGTTATTTTCTAGTCAATATTTTTTCGGATTGAAAGAACTCGTAATACATATTACGTCTAGGTGACCTCTCCAAGTCGAAAAAAAAAATTGAATTTTTATTACTACTCGAGACAACAAAACATGGGACATTTTTCCTTTACCAAGTGCAGAATGGCCACGAAATCGGGGAAAAAATGCTTTCATTCGTAAGCAGAAAGTGAATGCGTTAGGTTAAAGAAATGAATTTTAAGAAAAGAAAAAGAGAAAATTATTTATTTACTTTTTACACAAAAAAAAAAAAATAAAAAAAAAATAAAAATATATTTACAACTTTAAACCATAATATACATAATACATGATACAAGTGTTTAAATGCATATTACAATCTCTTTCTCCCTCTCCGTAGTTAAGTACGTGGTGTCTTAAAATCACGTACCAGTTAAATGTAGTCCTGCAGTACGTAGCCCAACTTCGATTTAAAAAAAACAACAGATGCATAGCAAACGGTAAAGAAAGAGAGAAAAAAGAAGTATGTTCGCCTTGAATCGACACTCTGTATATCCGTCAGGTGCTGGTGTTGAAATAAGAAAACCGTCAGTATATTACGATTGTTATCATATATAACATTTCAATGTTCCTGGATAAATAGCATACAGATGCCGCTATTCGGTTGTGACATTTTATCGCATTAACATATATGTATAATGTTCGAAATAATAGTTTCTTAGAACACCTATACTTATCAGCGATTGTATAAAGAATATATGTTCTGACCTAGCACATATAATTCTGAGCTGATTAAGTAAAGTCTCTCTGTCGAAAATTTCGCCCATTTTTGATTTTGTCTGTCATCTGCGTGTAAAATCCTATCGCTAAAACTATGATAAGTAGATGAAAGCGTTCTAGCTGGCGGCAAAAGACAAAATCTGTAACTGATCGGAAACGGTGCGGACATCCATGTCTTGCTAAAGCTTCCCCATTCCGTGAGTCGCGTAGAAAGATGAAAAGAAAAAGTTTATTTTTGAAAAGTTTCAATTTTAGAGAAGAGTTGTCTTAGCTGCAACATGTACGCAAATGCAAACGTACACGAGCGAAAGACAAACTAACCAGTTGTTGTTGTTCGTTGGTCGCTTATTATTAGAAAATATTGTTGTGCCAATAAATGCTTAACATGAGCACGAGCGCATGCAACTAGAGCAACTACTTTATGGTTAAAGGTTTTTATAACTTATTATTGTTGTTTTTGTTGGTGCTTTAACGATAACCATCTATAAGATAGTTTAGCTTTAAGTATCTGCATTAGTAAAAAAGGAAAAATTGAAACTTGATGCTGCTGGGGATTTTTTTTTTTTTTCTGTTTTTGGATAGAGTTGATGCAGTCATAAAGTTATAAATTGTTCATCAAAGAATTTGATCTTTTCATGTAAAACAAAAAAAAAAAAAAAAAACTGAATTATTTTCTATGCAAATTATATGGTGATGGATAGCTAAAGATTAAAGGAAAATTCGAAAAAACTTTTAAATAAAAAGCCATGCATAACGCAAGGGAACTTACAAAGAAGGAGGAAAGTAAATTCGAAACGCCAACTAAATATGTTTTTTTAAAGATATGGCAACTCCTAAAATTGCCAAATTCAGACTAATGCTCCTAACTTAAAACAATTTTGCTTTGCTTTGGCAGAAAATTTTACACGCTGTTGCTTTTGGCTTTAATCAGGTTAGTGAACAATAATTGCAAATAAATTCAGGGCATCTCACAATGTAATCTGCGAACACCTTCGTGTACTTATTTTTCAGGGACTTCGAGGGTAGTTATCTCAACGATTGCACAAAGATCCTTTTATTTCTGGTTGCAGCGAGGATTCTTTAAAATTTTCGAGGTGAATTGACGCAGTACGTGTAGCTGTCTACGAATTCTACTGGCGGAACCATCGTTGATCGGCAAATGTTTTCAATGAAGACTGTACCATTAACTTCAATATTCTGCAGAAAACTGACGAAGCAGGTGGGCATCTGTAGCACTTGAGGCATCAATAAAAATAATATATATTCGATACTCGACACTCATTAAACTGCGGACGTTACTTGACGAAAATATTGCAGAAACTAAATGCCTATGATTGGAGACAAATATTGATTTCATGTGAAAAGAGCCGTCTCTGCATGTCTTCCTATTTACTGAAGCTACTTCAAGGAAATTTGATCGGGGCTTTAGTAATAAGAGTAGTATAGTAATAGAGTTAGCAGTAATAATAGGGCTAGTAGTAGTAGTAGTAGTAGCGGCACTAGTAACAATAGTATTACTATGAACAGTAGTAGTAGTAGTGTTAGCAGTAGTCGCAGTAGCGGTAGTAGTAGTAGAGTTACTAATAATAATTCGAGTGGTCATCTCAGTAACTATGAAGCTCTATAATTAATTTGTGAAGTTTTCTTGCGACAAAAATGTTAATTGGCCCATGTCGCGCAAACTAATGGTGTCCTGATCGATCTAAATGCCAAAGTAATAGGTTACCGAGGATTTATTAATTCATTTTAAGATCCAAAAACGGTGCGTTGCGCAAATTCACGTAAAATTTCATTAAACAATGACAAAATTTTAAAGGGGAAATATTTGATTTTATTATGGAATCGAAAAGACATGTCGGGCAACCCTCGTAATCAAAAAAATATTTATTTAATTTTTAATTTATTTAATGAAATCCCACCAGCAGATGTGAGTGCATTTTTTATGGTATCTTTCATCGTTTGCCTCCTCTTTTGGTCTTTGCTTCACTGAGAGATGATTAAATATAACATTAAAAAAATAAGTGGCTCGCGTATCGCATATACATACACATGCGCTCACAATCGCCGAGTTTTGAATCAGGAAATCATCTTAATTTGTACACACAAAACAATATTTATACGCCTTAATAGACATCAACACGTTCAGCAAAAACAATAACAGCAACAATAACATCAAAAAGAATATAAAAATTGATCCGAATTGTTCCCTCTGTTGCTGCAATAAAACAAATCAATATTAATTTTTTTGTTTTTTTTTTAAATTTTTTTTTTTTGCTTATTTTATACATTTATACATATATATCATTTTACAATAGCAGCAAAGACAAGAAAAAGGGCAAGTGAAACTCCTACTTTAAGACAAATAAGCGATCAAAGGCATAACAGCACAAGGCACACAGAGTAACAATTGAAAACGTTTTATATGTGTATGCCGTACGTGCCTCCGTGATCGTGGGATATTTTACCTACATACTATACACCGGCAAACATACTCGA